ATCTAACATTTAAACCAGTCCTTTCTTTCTGTGTTCATGCAACTGTCTGGAATCTATGCTGGTAATGAATACCGAGACTGTTAAGACAGAAATATAGCTAAAAATGAAACCGTTTCTACTACATAAACAGTCTCTAAAGATGAAATCCATTACATTAACAGTCTCCAAATGCAGACCTTGAAGGATATGCCAGCTAGTGGATGGTTAAGAGTTTCAGCATATTGGGCCAGATTCCAAACCCCTCAAGCCAGTTGGTAATTAACAGACATCTAGGTCCCCCACATGAAAGAAGTCTATTGTTTAAACAGTGACACAATTTTTTCCTTTCCTTTTCATAGCCAGTCTCTGCCTGTGTTTTAAGATTCCCTTAGGACCGTAACAGCCTATGATTTTAGAACCTCCACTTCTCAACCTGACAATTTGTTGGACTTCTAGTTCCCAGGAATGCAAACATGCTTAGATCACAGGTAGAACAAAATAATTTTACAGGCTTCTCAGAGATCCCAAATCTCACCTTTGATTTAATAGCTGGAAAAATTAATATCCAAATAACCTAATTAAAACTTAACATACCTACAACAGCAACAGAATTACAAAACATAGTAACAAATCATACTGAGGGCCTGTAAACAGTCTGTGATAAGTCCAATTAGCAAGTAATGCATCTACAAGGAATATGAGTCTGTCTCTTCATAAATAATGATGTTACAGCAAAACTTCTAAGATAAACCAAAGGATGCCCTACTTGTATTTTGTAAAGAAGCAATGATCTAGGACACGCATAAAATTGCCTGTTCTCTGATCTGTTATCTTACTCAAGGTAGATTAGATGTGAGAAAAACAAGAGACTACATACAAACCATACTTAAACTAATCAATGTAATAAAAGAGAACATTACATTAAAGCTGCATTTTAAAGGATGAGGTGTGGACACTTATCTATAAAGGAGTGAGTTAAATCACCAAGAAGGATAACAGGGAGGATGTAACAGATAAGGAGATGGTAAAAGTACTCAACTGATATAAATATATTTTAAGAAAAGAGTCAATAAAACAGAGAGCCAACCCATCGGAAAAGGACAAAAGCTAAATGAGAATTAGAAAACATTTTCCGAAGGCCCGTGGCCTTCCAAAAGTCTATGGCTGTGACTGCTTTGCTATTTTCTGGAGTCTGACCGATGTCTCTATACCTCACCCAAGCCTGTCTAGCCATACGAGGAAACACCCAAATCCCCATCACATTCAAGGTGATAAAAACATCCCCAGAGAACTGGATGAGATAGTTACTTTTGGACCAGCTTCTTCTCCTCCCGCTCAAAGGAGCCATTTGCGGTCTGCCTGTCTATGCAATCGTTCATCTGAAGTCTCTAAATACGACCAGAACTACGTAACACAAAAGCATAATTCAGCAACTCAATCAACCGCAGCATTCACCCGGACAGTCAGCCCTTTCACTGTCACCCTAACCAAGGTACTAACAAACAGTGGAACTGGCTGTCCTCACCTCTAGGTGCAGTCAAGTCCGGGTCTAGGCTGCAGAAGCTGCTGGGAGAGCCTCAAGAAGCTTACACAGCTGCTAGAGGAGTGCTGGGACGTCAGGTCAGCATCGCTTGTGAGCTTCTGCCACCTAACAAGTTTGGGAAGAACTGGCTGGCTGGCAGAATCTGCTGCTATGTTGCAGAAAGCATATCTTACAGTTCTAGAGAAAAGCAAAACCAAGGAAGCTCAGGTATGTTTCGAAACTGACTCCTTAAGAGTCATTAATCTTTTTGTTTTGACAGACATTTCCCATTCCTTTTCCTTCAGTTAACAAGCAAATTATATTACTAATTTCTCTTTTGTCTGAGGCATACAGACATGCGCTTCCAGCTTCTTCCATTGCTCCTAATTGCTAATAAAAGCTTTTGAGTGCTACTAACACTTTATAGGGAATAACATGAATTACACCAGGGTTACCTCTTCACTACATGTCCTCTGCATTCACTTCCTAAAATACAAACCCCCCACATTTCCAACCACACTTACATAAAACACATTTATATGTGAGTAAAGAATGCAGAAGTCTGGTTTCAATTGACCCTAAATTTCATTTTAGTAGATTCCTTGCATTAGTCTCCAGGGTCAGCCTCAGCACTTCCCTGCTCTCTCTTCTGGAGAAACGGTGCGTGTTCACAGCCAGGCACCAGGTGAAAGACCCCACTATGGCAGACAGAATAAACTCCAGCAGCTTGCTCAGAGCAAAAGGGCTGCTTTCCTCTGTGTTGCAGGATAACACCACAGGCTGCTTCCAAGTAAAATTGTCATCGTCGTCAGATTCCCAATGCTTACATTTCAATGAATTACTGCCGGAAAAAGGCTCAAGCTCATTTGCTGCTCATGACCATGAAGCATAAGGCAACTTCATCATCACAAAACCCCAATCATTTCCTAACCATATCAGGCAAGCAGACATATACAGTCCTGTCATCCAACTGTAAATATGATTATTTAACAACACTCAATGTTTATGAGATTACTATACCATCTCCATATTGCTGATTAATGCCTACCATGTAGTTTCAAAGCATGCAGGCAAACACAGGAGGACGCTTATTTAAAGAAGGAAAACTTTATGAGGAAATCATCTTTTAAAACAACTTCTAATTAATACAATCATTATGATGCTAGGCTCCATCTTCTTTGTATTTGGTATATTCCTCATGTACAATTTGTAACACCACAAGTGGTTCATAACATTCAGTATTCACTTGCTTGTGCCTGTATGTTAATAATGTAGGAAAAGTAAATTACTTAATCTGCAATCATCATCTTATAATGCTGGGTATTCCAAGAGCAAGAAAAGATCGTACTTAAATTTTAAAATTAACTACCACAGGAGAGAAATCTCTCTTTTTAAAACATAAACTACTGTTTTTATTGGGAGATTTGTCAGCACATTAGGAATGATGAGCCACCCTATTCCCAACAATGTTATTGTTAGTTGCCTCAATTCTCTCTGTAGTTAGGCAGTACGCATGGCCTAATCAGCGAACTTCAAACACAGGCACAGATGTAGGCATGCCTATGTAAACATTTAAAAGGTTTTATACAAGTGCAAAGCAGATGCTGGACATTAAAACCTTCTGGAGGATCCTGGGTCTGACCAGAGCTCCAAGTCATGTAAACACAGCATTCCCCCACAGACAAAATAAATTTCTACCCTCCTCCCCCTCAACTGAAGAGATACTTTTAATAATCTACACAAGATTGGAAAGGCTTGACGGTTATTTGAGCAATATTATGTTTATCTCTACAGCTTGAAGTGATGGTAAAAAGTGACCAAAGAAAGTGATGACAAACCACCCTTCCCACCTTTTAAGAGTGGGTTAATTTTTGCCTCTCTGAAAAATCCCTTTACACAGCCACAACGCAAACACTTGTAAAGTAACACTGCTGAAAATTTTAAGGGCAATGTAAACTTTTTTTTTATTTTCACACTTTGAATCAAAAAGGACGTAGTGATTTAGCACTTCATAAGGTACAGCTGCAACAAGCCAAGGCAAATGGCAGGGACCAGTAGTGGAGTTAAGTAACTCATTCACTTACCGAAGATTTTAATTTGGTGGACTAAAATCAAAGGCCCGAACACCCCTAAGTAACTTGCTTTTATTCTCCCCTGCTCCCCACCCGTGTGCCTGCAGCCCCACTGAGCTCAGCCAGCTGCCAGGCCCCCTCTGGCCAGGACAATTTCCCACTGGGGCCTAGCGACGGCCCGGACTCCACACCAGCTGCGGGAAGCCCCACAAGCATCGGGGGCACAGCAGGCCGCCTCACCCCACACCGGGCCCGCACCACAACACTTAAAAGAGGCATCACATCCCCCAGCGCACCTCAGGCCAGGCCAGCCCCCCCAGGCCCAAAACAGCAGCCGGGGCCATCCCCGCAGCC